CCTTGACAGTCTTGAAGTAGGAAGTGAGAGCTTTCCAATGCCTATTTGTGCTTCAAAATTCGAGCTCTCTAACCCTTTCGTTTAATTGTGTCAAGTTGGCTAGTCAAAACTGCCTTTTTACCGCATTTTGCTTCCTTTTAGCTTTTCCGGGCGAAACACACCTACAAACATATAATTCTAACAACACCAAGCATATCATATCACTTTATATCATAACTTGAGACAAATGTACATGAGTTAAGGGGATAAATTTACACTTTTGAGCGCTTATCACCATTAATATGGGGTGATGAAAAACCGATATTAGAAACTTGTGGTAAAGTGGTGGTGGTGGTGGAAAAGTGTAATGGTTGTGGTGGTGGTTGACATGTATTGGGCATAAAAGAGGGAGGGAGGGTGGGAGCATTAACAATAGGTTGCTTACCTTGAAATTTTTCAAATTGTAGAGCAAGATCTTTTATTGAAGCATTGAGGCGATCGATAGCCGAATTAAATTCAACTTTCGTCACATAATCCCCAAGTTAACCAACTTGGGAGCGTGGTGAATAATCTCCGTCTTTAACCATTGTTGTAGGATCGAAACGAAGCTCTAGATACCAATTGACGTAGAAAAAGTGATTAAAAATCAAACCTTGAATAACCCAAGGGGAGTTATGCCTTGAAACAAGGAAGAACTTGAAGAAAACTTAAAAGAAAAATAATTGTAGAGATAAACATAATTGTATTGATAGAAGTATTAAAAATCCCTACAAGGTTTGTCCCTTTATATAGACTTAAAAATCTAAACCAACTAGCACTAGAAATTCCTAAAACAAAGAAACATAAATACAAATCCTACTGGAAAAGGGATTACTAATATAATCTTAATAGTAAGCCAATTATTCTAGAACGACTTAAAACTAAATAGGAATTACTAAAAACTAAAATAGTAATTACTAAATTTTTGCGTCATTAACTTTGCGGTGTGGACACCAAATAAATAGGTCCTCGAACCTCTCCCATGCATCAAAGAAAACTTCACCATCTTTTTGCCGAAAATTTCTAATGACATCAATCATGTCATTGGTTTTTTTAATAGGGTAATTAATGTTATTCCTTACACAATGGTGTCCAATATACTAGAGGGGGGGTGAATAGGATATTTAAAAAATACTTCACAAAGTTCACCCCCAACAACTAAAAACAAGGCAAACTGTCACTATCACAGAGCAACCTAACACAACTAGATATGCTTAGTAAACCAAGATGCGAAAAAAGAAGATTATACTAAGGAAGATACTAGCAAGCTAAAAACCCAACAAGTAAAAACAACTAACAAGCTAGAACAAAAGATAGGAGATGTAAAGCTATGGAGTTGGTTTTCAATCTCTACAAAAGTATCAACTCAACCTCCTAGTCATTAGACACTTGTTCAACTAGATTAGGATGATTGGATCAACCTTAATCAATGAACTAAGTAATCTAACGTCTAGTTCTAGATTTGTTGTGGAGTTGAGGGGGTGAGTAGAGAAAGAGGCACTCTCACCCTTTCCTCGACCACAATACAAATCAACTAGAATATTGGTTTGATGAGATGTAGAGATATTCAACAAGATAAACAACAAAGAATATAGATCTAAACTAAAAGCAAGAAAGCAAACCACAACACAAAGATGTATAGTGGTTCGGCCCAAGATTGGCCTACGTCCACTCTTCAAGTCGCTTCTTGCTATTAAGATAGATCCAAAGTCTCGGAACACGTCCAACCAACTCTACACAACTCCCATTTGTGTTGATCTAGTCTAACTTGAAAGTTGTAGAGATTTTCCCTAAATCTCTAACCTAGAATCCACTAGGGTTTTGAAGTAGCTTGTCACAAAGCTACTTACCTTGAACTCCTTCTCAAGGATTTTCCACCAAACTTGTAGAGAACAATTTGGGTTTTTCTCTC